CGTGGAAGCTACTGCCAAATGTGTCTCGTTGGGTCCTGCATACTGTAGAAAAAGGCTATCGCATTCAGTTCGGCGCTCCTCCGCTGCCTTTCAACGGGGTCTTTCCCACACTCGTGGGCCCCGAACAGGCTCTGGTATTAGAACAAGAAGTGAACACTCTCTTGAGGAAGGAAGCCATCGAGGTGGTCCCTCCTCACGACAGAGAATCCGGGTTCTACAGCCGGTACTTCATTGTTCCGAAGAAGGATGGAGGGTCCCATTTCCGCACTTTCACGAAGTGTGTGGATGCTGCTCTGGCTCCCCTGCGACTCCAGGGCATCCGCATACTGAATTACATCGACGATTGGTTGATTTTGGCTCAATCATAGCAGTCGGCGGTTCGGCATCGAGATGTCGTTTTCGCTCACATGAAAGAGCTGGGGTTAAGACTAAATGCCAAGAAAAGTGTGCTTTCTCCATTACAGAGGACCACTTATTTGGGCGTGGTGTGGGATTCGACCACGATGCAGGCACAGTTGTCTCCTGCTCTAATCGAATCGATCCTCACTGCAGTCGCGAGAATCAGAGAAGGCTCACGGTCAAGCAATTTCAGAAACGGCTGGGTCTGATGGCAGCTTCGTCCAACGTGATACCTGTTGGCTTGCTGTACATGAGACCCCTACAGTGGTGGCTCAAGACCAAGGGGTTCTCCCCAAGGGGAAGTCTGCTTCGCATGATCAAGGTCACGCAACGATGCCTACGTGCCTTGGACATGTGGAGGAAGCCTTGGTTCTTGTCTCAGGGCCCGGTGCTGGGAGCTCCTTGTCGCCGCGTAACGCTAACGACGGACACGTCCCTCACCGGTTGAGGTGCGGTCATGAGTGGCCACCCTGCCCATGGTCTGTGGTACTCTCTGACTCATCCGGCTCCACTGGGGCTGGATGCCATGGTACAGACTTTGTCGAGGCTTCGTCTGTACACCTTTCCCCTGATTGCTCTGCTCCCGGGTGTTCTGGAGAGAGTGTGCCGGGACAGGGTCCATCTGCTGCTAGTAGCCCCATTCTGGCCGGGCCGAGTATGGTTCTCGGACCTGATTTCCCTTCTCGACGGCTCTCCATGGGAGATTCCCATCGGGAGGTCTCTCCTCTTACAGGCGGAGGGTACGATCTTTCACCCCCGCCTGGAGCTGTGGAAGCTGTGGGTGTGGCCTCTTAGAGGGAAAGGAGGGATCTCCTCTCTCAGGCGGAGGGTACGATTCTCCACCCCCGCCCGGAGCTGTGGAAGTTATGGGTGTGGCCTCTGAGGGGGCACAAATCCTAGCTTCCGGTCTCTCAGCCGAGGTTCTTGAGACCATCCTCCAATCCAGAGCTCCCTCTACAAGGAAACTGTATGCCTTGAAGTGGAAACTTTTCACTTCTTGGTGCGGAGATCGCCAGCTCGACCCAGTTAACTGCCCGGTTGGTACAGTGCTGGAGTTCCTGCAGGCCCGTTTCTCCGCAGGGTTATCCCACTCCACCCTGAAGGTCTACGTGGCGGCCATTGTGGCTTACCACGCCCCTCTCGGTGGCCAGTCAGTGGGCAGACACCCCCTAGTTACACATTTCCTCCGCGGTGCGCTGAGGCTGAGGCCCCTGGTACAATCTCATGTCCCCACATGGGACCTGGCTGTGGTGCTAGAAGCTCTCTGCAAGCCTCCTTTTGAGCCTATTGAAGAGATTTCTGATCACTTTCTCTCGATTAAAACTGTTTCTTCTGGCTATATCTTCTTTAAAGAGAGTTGGGGATCTGCAGGCCCTCTCTGTGGCCCCTTCCTACCTAAACTTTGCGCCTGGCTTGGCCAAGGCTTTTCTCTACCTTCGAGCGGGTTATGTTTGCTAAAGTCCCCTCTGTCATGCCACTCGACCCGAGGTATGGCGGCCTCCAAGGCCTTCTTGGCAGGTGTGTCCATGCAGGACATCTGCAACACAGCGGGATGGGTCGCCGCCCCTCACGTTTGTCAGGTTCTATGACCTAGATATGCGAACCACTCCTGGCTCTTCTGTTCTCTCGTCCTAGCTGTGCTCTTCCACACTAGGCAGGGATTTGCAAGTCTGGCAGCGTGGGCATACTCGTCCCATAGCGTTTTCCAAAGCAGCTCGAGTTCCTGAAGGGGAACGTCTCCAGGTTACGCATGTAACCATGGTTCCTCTAAGCATGGTCACACTGAAGGCGTTCCCATAGCGTTTTCCAACGCAGCATCTCGTTCCCTTCGGGAACAATGGTTACATACGTAACCTGGAGACGATTTCTTAATTTAAGGGCTTTGTTGCAACTGCAACTGATTACATTAGTGTAAGTGAATGATAAGTACCACTATTAACACTTTAGTTACTATTCACACTTAATTTACCTACTGATTCATATGTAATGACATTAAAGGGGTGGTTCATTGCGATTTCACTTTTTTAACGTTAGTGTGTAATGTTGCTGTTTGAGCATAAACA